GGGCGGCAACGTGCAGCAGTACCCGAAGAGTGGTCATCTTCGGGGTGGGGGAGAAGGTCTGGAAGAAGTCAACCCCCTCTCGCTGACTGAAGCCTCGAGCAACGTAGCGTGCCTTGAAGACAGGCGGAGAACCAGGCGGCCGCTTCACCCTGAAAATTCACATGCCACTGACGATGTTCGCCCCAGGAGGGGGAACCTCGTCGACGTAAGTGCCAGTGGACTTCCAGGATGCCATCTCTGCATCCATGGCTGCCTGCCACTGAGAGGAGTAGGGACCCGCGACCGCCTCAGCGTACGAGCGCGGGGTGGGGATGTCTAGTGCATCCGGGTCTCCCTCAGGGGCAAGCAGCATGGTCACGAGATGAGGCGCAGCGGCTGCAAGACACTCAAGGTCCTCGTGCATGTCCTCAAGGACGTCCGTGCTAAGAGCACACTCACCCCCGACGGACGGAGGACAGACAGACTCAGACTCAGCGACAAGACTAGCAGCGTAGTCTAGACGACAGGCAGCCGCAAAGTCAACAAGCTCGGCAACCAAAGCTGTCGCAGCAGCAGACTCAAACGAGGGGTCAGTGACAACAGTGGCGAGCAGACGCGTGACAGTAGGGTGCTCAGCACGAAACCGGTCAGACTCAGGGTCCGGAACGTGAGGCAAGGAAGACGCAGGAGGAGACGGCAGAGAAACAGACTGCGGAACAGAGGAAGGACGACGGACGACAAGGTGTGCGGTGGGGACAGGCGGCGAACGCGGACGCGGAACACGACGACCGGTACGACTAGGACGAACAGGCGAGACAGGACACGACGCAGGCTCACGACGCTCAGCAAGACTACCCGTCTGCTCAGTGTAAGGAGAAGGAGCAGGCAGCGGTGAGCCAGGCTGTAACGGAAGACCAGTAGACGACGGGAGAGTAAGAACCTGACGAAGAACAGAGTCAGGCGGCGGCAGAGACGACGGAGACGGCGGAGCGAAGAACAGTCGTGGCGGCGCAGCTGCACCAGAACCGGCAGCTCCAGCAGCTTCAGTATCCCCAGCAGCTCCAGCACCTCCAGCAGCTCCAGAAGCTCCAGCAGCAGAACCGACACCTCCAGGCCCAGGGTCTCGAACACCAGTGCCTCCAGCAGCAGCACCCCCAGAACCAGTACCTCCAGTCCCAGGGTCTCCAGCCTCCACGTCTCCAGCAGCAGCACCCCCAGAACCAGCACCTCCAGTCCCAAGGTCTCCAGCCTCGGTGTCTCCAGCAGCAGCACCTCCAGACGCAGCACCCCCAGCCCCAGCAGCTCCAGTACCTCCAGTACGAGCACCTCCGGGACCAGCGACTCCAGCACCTCCAGTAGAAACAGTACCAGCACCACTCCTAGCGCCAGGGACGGCAGCAGAAGTACCTCCAGCAGTAGAGCCCCGGGCTCCAGCAGCGCGACCCTGACGGCGACCGTACCAGTCGTGCAGCTGCTGCGAGGTGAGTGGCACACGTGGACGAAGGCGGCTACTCCAAGGAGACCGCGCAACAGCAGACTCTGAACCCTCAGCGCCAGCACCCTCAGCAGCTCCAGCGCCACCAGCACCAGGACCTCCAGCAGCTCCAGAACCTCCAGCGCTAGCACCCTCAGCAGCCCCAGAACCACCAGCTCCAGCACCTCCAGACCCCTCACACTCAGGCTCAGCACCTCCAGGCTCGACACCCTCAAGCTCCGCACCCCCAGGCTCCGCACCCCCAGGCTCAGCACCCCCAGACTCAGCACCCCCAGAAGTAGCACCCCGAGCAGGACCACCCCCAGCAGGACCTGAGTCACCAGTGACCTCAACCGGCGCAGGGAAGGGAGGAGGGTCGACCTGAGACACACCTGAGGGAGCAGGACCTGGAGCGGGGAGAGGGTCGACCTGGGGAGCACCTGGAGCGAGGAAGAGCGGCGGGGGAGGGAGAGGGGCAGTGCGGTAAAAGGGAACCGACTCGTCGAACGTGACGTCCTGAGACGCAAAGACACGGCGCGAGGTGGGGTGGTAAAACTGCCAACCAGGCGCGTCAGGGACAAAGCCAAGGAAGACACAGGGAACTGCACGGGCGGAGAGCTTGTCCGCGGTGGTATCGCGGACAAAGGCACGAGCACCCCAGACTCGGAAACGCGACGCATCGCCAACCTTCCCCGTCCACAGCAGTGTGGGCGAGGTCTCCGGCAGGGAGACACGGGGCCAGAGGTTGAGCTGATGCGTGGCGTACCGGACCGCAAACGGCCACAGAAAATGGGGGGCAGCCGCATGGATCATGGAGGTACGAGCGACCTCCATGACTAAGCCAATGCGGCGCTCAGCAACCCCATTCTGCTGCGGAGAGTCCGGAAGCGTGAACGACTGGGTGATGCCGTGCTCCGCACAGAAGGCTGCCAAGAGGTCGGAGGAGAACTCACCACCTCTGTCAGAGTGCAGACGCAGGACGGGAAACTCCGTCCCGAACCGCTCGCGGAGCTGGAGACGGGCAGCGCGGATCCAAGGGATCAAAACAGCAGGGACCTCCCCCTTGCTGCGCAGGGGAAAGACCGTGGTGTAACGCGTGTAGTCGTCAACAACCAGCAGGAAGTACCGCTCGTGGCCCTGTCCACGGACGCGGGCTGGGCCCCACACGTCCAGGTGGAGAGTCTGCAGGGGAGCCTCTGTGGGAGGGAACGAGGAGGAGTGAGGAGCGGCGCGCTGCCGCCCCTCGACGCAAGGAATGCAGGGCGGCGCAAGCGAGGGAGGTAGGGCAGGCAAAGACCTGGGCGACCTGGGCTGCGCGCGGCTCGGTGCGGGCTGCGCGCGGCTGCAGCGGGCTGCGCGCGGCTCAGTACGGGCTGCGCGCGGCTGCAGCGGGCTGCGCGCGGCTCGGTGCGGGCTGCGCGCGGCTGCAGCGGGCTGCGCGCGGCTCGGTGCGGGCTGCGCGCGGCTGCAGCGGGCTGCGCGCGGCTGCGGGCTGCGCGCGGCAGCGGGCTGCGCGCGGCTCTGTGCGGGCTGCACGGGCTTAGTGGGGGCAGCGCGCGGTAGCAACGGGCTGCGCGCGGCTCGGTGCGGGCTGCGCAGGCCTGGAGGGCGTGTAGGGGCGGCGCGCGGGCCTTACGGGCCTTTAGGGGCAGCGCGCTGGCCTAGGGCAGCAGGAGGCAGCGCTAGGGCTGCTGGACGGCTCGCGTAGTGCAGCACGTCACAAGGCAAGGCAAGGCAGGCAGGTACGTGGGGTAGCGCGGTAACCGCAGTGGTAGGTGGGCCCGAAAAAAAAAGCGGTCCTACGGACCTTAGTGCTCTGAAACCATGTTAGAATCTGACAGCAGGAATGGATGCATTGATCAAGAGTTGGGTACACAAGCTAACCCTAATTAGGTTGTACCCCATATGGGCTACCCCACTAGCAGCCTACACAAACACAATATGCATAGTTTGACACGCATTTGATCTAGCTGTAGGTCGTAGAACTAAACGACGGCAATATAAACAGACAGAAACCAACCGGCAAATTAAACAGATTCAACAGTGACTCACCGGCGGCCAACCTCTGCCCCATCTTCGTCTTCACCCGCCTCGCCAGGTGAAAGCGCCGACGGAAACGCGAAACCCACCAGAACGAAGCGCGCCAATTGACGGACGGCATCCGGTGCTTCATGTACTTGGCGCTCCACTGCTGGAGCAGGCGGACCGAGACGGCAAGGCCCTTCGCCCGGTGCTTCAAGAAGTGGCGGTAGACCGCCCATTCCATGAACGGGTACTTCGCCTTGCGGCCGTCGCCCACGAGGCGACGTCGGCAGCTAGAAGCAATCTCCAGGCGCTCTCTTAGCTTCTTCCATTAACGGATCTGGCAGGGCTGGACCTTCGCGAGCTTCGCCAGGGCGCGATTCCCAAGATCGGGCTGAGAGTCTTGCATCTTCAGCCAGTGCAGCTTCTCCTTCGCAGTGATCGCGTGACGCACTTTCTTCGTCATGCGGTGGCGAGGGGATGGTGTCTCACCATCCACGTTGCGCTTCTTCTGACCCTGCGGCCGCTTACTCTCCGGGACGGTGGGGACAACGACACGGGGAAGGGGAGGACGGGGAGCTTCGGAGCTACTGCTCGGTTCATCCCTGGTTGAAGCACTACCAGGAGGAGACGGCTGGGGCAAGACGGGACGAGGCGACGTCCGTGCGCGAGCAGATGCGGGAGACTGAGAGGTAGAGGGACGCGCCCGCCTAACTATCGTACTGCTAGAGTCGGATGAGGAAGCCATGCTTGGCTAGTGCAGATTGGTGTCACTAGCCATAGCGGGAATGGCTATAAACAAAGACGCTAGCCCGCAGGACGGAGGTGCTCTAACAGCCTGTCGAGCACTCGTAAGTAACGTGCACTGGAACCGCTCCACGGGGTGGAGGTGAGACAGCCCTTTGAGGGACAGGGACGTGACCAAACCAGTCACGTCTTGACTGGTACAGTGACAATGCAGCTTCGTGCGCGATTCCGGCCTCGGGAGTTGCATGAACTCTCGCTATGCATGGCTGGCTCTGTTTCCAGCCAATCAGGGTCCATAGTTAGCCCACTGGAAGTTGCCATGTGGCAGAGTCCAGTGGGCGGTCACGTTATCCTCGTATACTCGGTTTTGCGGCACTGTTTAACAAACAAGAAGTGAAGTCACACACCACATTTTGAAACACATCGATTCTGCTTTAAAAAAGTATGTACCATATAATAAGACCCGGGTATTATGTAGGACTTTCCGTTGAGGAGACCCCCCCCATTTTTTCCCGGTATTTATCATAATACCCCCGGGTGTTTTATCCGGGGGAATACGGTAGCGGAGCAATCTAGGTTTGCGCGCCACGTAGCTCTACCTGCCTGTTACCCCCCCCCCCAAAACCCCCCCAATACGGTAGCGGAGCAATCTAGGTTTGCGCGCCACGTAACTCTCCCGCCCCCCCCCCTCCCCCCCAAAACCCCCCCCCAAAAACCCCCCCTCCCCTTCCTCCCCTCCTCGCCCCCCCCGAACTATTCCGCCTCCCCCGAAAGCTTTTCATTCCTGTGCTGCATTGGCGACAATGCTCCCCAGGTCAATGCCGTCATCTGAAATCAGAACCTTCGCCCTGCGTTTGAATGCCCATGCCTCGTGCTGGGGCTTGTACCAGGGTCCCTCTTCCTCGTTGCGTTCGAGAATTGCCTGGCGGGCCCATGCCTTCACGCGCGAGTGATACCAGCGGACGGTGTTCTCGTTTTGTGGCCCACTGCGCTTTAAATCGCACCCCGTCAGCATTGGCGTCTCAGTCTGAAACGGAAACGGGAAGGAACGCTTGTCAGGTTAGGTTACTCCCGGAAGCACTTATAATAAAACTAGGGTAGGCGACTCGCCCCGAAGCATTAACTTCAGATTACTACTCACCCCGAAAAGCCAGAAGGCCACTGCATATGCCTTCACGACCAGCGGCGAATCTAGCGACCCTTTTAGTGTCTCAAACACTCCCGTGTCAAATGCCTCCGTCGAGAACGGCACGCGCTTGCGGCCTTGGCCTCGGTGCCAGGTCATGAGCTCGTGGCTGTCAGAATCTGCCATTAGAGGGAAATATATAAAAACAGGGTCGTATATTACTGGAGTACAACGACCATTAGCTCATTACGAGAGGTTTTCTTACCGGCTTTGAACTTGTCCATGAACTCAGTGACAGTCGTGGGTTTCACAAGGGAGGGATCGGGAACAGGTGGGGGTAGAATCCGCGAGGTCGGAGCCTTCTTGAAAGGCATCCCATTCAGCACATAGAAGTAACCACGGGCGCTGGTCCAGAGGTTTGACCTGTACACCTGCATGCGCGCTGTGAAGGCCTCACTGCGATCATGATCGTTTGACCACACCAAATGAAGTCGCTGCAGGTCAGCCTTGCTCTCGTATTCAAGTGCCATGGCGAGGGCCTTTTCCACGAGCGTATCCAAAGGCCACAAGCTCATGAGCGCGTCAGGCATCTTGTGCAGCAAGATCTCCTGAGCCTGCGTCATCTTTGCCTGTACATTAGGAGAGAATCCACGCTAGTATTAGTATGTAGTCAACACGAAATAGCAGCGCATAATGGTTTGTATGAAACTCACGGGTAGTCCAGTGGTTAATGCAGGGATCGCAAGGTCTGCCTCGCCGCAAGTACCGGCCCAGGACGTGTAGCCCTCTGATGGTTGCACTCCACCTGCGTACACTGTGTGAAACTCGTGCTCCAGAGCACGTTGCACCCAGGGTGAGAATTGGTGACGTGGATGGTCGTCCAAAAGAGTGTGTCGAAACGCCCGCGCGTTGTGCATCCCCGGTTCCATTGCAGTTGATTTTGCAACACAGTGCTTGCGCTTGTTTCGTCCCTCACTCTTGTCGCCGTGAGCAACTGCCTGCCTTGCACAAGAACGAGTATTTTTAGTTAGTTCCAGGAGTTTCATGTCACGGTCCCTGAGTTCAGTCTGAAGGCGCTCGACGTATTCAGCAGTGTAGCTCGTAGGAGTACGACTTGCGGTAGGCGGGACGACCGGCCCTTGGCCGCCAGAACGCGCACTCAACGGGACACCATCCTCTCCAACAGTCTCGGCCCTTGGAGCAGCGCTAGAAACTGCAGAAACTGGCCTCTGCGTTCTCTGCGACCCTGTGCACACAAAGAGAGGAAAAAACGTTGTGGTTATCATAGAAACACTCTGCCTCTCATTATGGAAATAAAATAAGTTGCATACCCTCGTACTCCTCATCGACCGGGTCATCGCTATCGTCATGCGAGGCGCCTTCTTCCTCCGCCTCTTCCTGGCCATCGTCGTCCAGGCCACTAGCCCACGTGGCATATCCCGTGTCGTTGTCCCTTCCTTCTTCCTCTGTCGCTATGAGCGCTGATGGCCCGTCATTTACTCTGGGAGCGTGGGAGGCACCTCGGATTTTGGTGCCATAATAGTGGAAAGCCTTATCCTTTGCCCAGCCCTTGATACGGCTGGATGCCCGCATTGGTGGCCTCATATCAGAGCGAGCACGATACATCTTTCATAGGTAGAAGAAAGTGTGGTGACGAATGAATTTTGGCTGCGGTGGTCCTTGATATACATGCTATTGAGAGGCTCGACACCTCAAGAATCTTGTGAACTCATCATCGTTCTTGAAAACTTGTACCTGTCTAGTAACATCACATGCTACCTTCGTGTCAGAGGGGGGTGTCACCTAAAAACGCACGTGCGTTCACTGTTTCGAATGTGAGGCACAAGACCACCATGTCAGGTTGTTTATCGCTTGAGTCACTGTTCACCACCAGTGCGCATCCCCCCTATGAAAAATTCCCCACCAAAGCTTCACCCTCTATAACTTCAAAGCCTAAAATGCATACTACCTATTACCATCAACCAGCTTTCATATAATAAATAACAGTATATATTGGCATCGACTCTTTACACACTGAAGAAAGGTACAGCTCGCATGTCTCATAATGCCTTATTTTGGAAAGCCGCTTATCACCTTCTAGCACCAGAACCTACGTTCAAGCCTCTCAATGTGCCCAAACAGCTGGGGTGTCAGACAGTGAATTATCTTCTGACCATGGCCTGCACCTTGTGGTTCATCCCATGGGTATGTCACCCCGTTGAGCCCCCAGCCCCACCGCCAATATCCTTTTTGCAAATTTGGTCGTTCCCACCAAGCGCGCATACCTAGGGCGTGAGATAGGAGCTCGACCGGAACACCATCCGTTCCACCAACGTGAAGAAATTCAACACATGTCTCAGGGACCCGGTTGGGCAAACGAGCATGCTTGAATGCCTCACGTGCATCAGTCTCGTTGTAACGATCATAGAAACCACGTTCCACCTGCACGTCAATATATAACAGCGATAATATGGCAATTGTTAGTTTTGTCTTTTCACAGATCCAACTGTCTGTGAATGATGTTAACAATAGTACTCACCACCCATCCCTCACTCATGGCAAATTCCATGAGATAAACGCGATAATCGTGGCGAACCACGCGGTTGCTCTGGATATGATCAATGTCGTCAGCTCGCATGTTGACGAAGGGATAATCCCCGGTTACAGGGAGAAACTTCCCGACGTCGACAAGAAACTCCCACGAGTCGTCTTCGTCGTAGTACATAGCGTCTATACACCCCTGTTGAGCCACGCTAAGTGGCGCGAAAAGGTACTCCTCTCGAGCGGCGTTAATCTTTTCCCATATGCTTTGTCTCACACGACGCGAACGAGCCTTACTTTTTGTAGCGAGAAATGATACACTGTTTACAATAGCTGACGGAGTGATTGGTATACTCTCCTCACGAAGCCTGTAGAATTCGGCCTGCATCCAAACGCTCGCTATTTCTGGAAAATCTCGCAGCATTTCCTCGCTATTTCTGGGGCGGCGTTGTGATTGACTAATCGTGGGCCATATTGGGCCCTTTTCGTAAGCGTAAGGGCTGTTGCGCCAAAAGCATTCGTCCCGATAAATCTCTTTCTCGATGTGCGCCATAGCTCGTGTTCTGTATTCGAGAAAGGGTATGCCGAGTGTAAAGAAATGTGCAAGGCACAAGAAAGAGAAAGCTTTGTTGTACGAGCAGCAGACGAGCACCCTGTACCCTGTTCATTAAGATTGCAGATTTGAAGATGTCCAGCACCAGAATGACATGTTACCTTATAGTGTCGTGCCCAAACCCACCAATGCATGACACGAACTGTGTGTTACGCAATGTGTAAACACTATGGAGTGTGTAGATATTTTGTTATGATCCACTGCATGCCAACGATGTTGCAAGGTCAATGCCCCGTGATGACGGGCCATCCGTGCTCGACAGCCACACACAGTGGCTGCCTCTGCCAGCCACGCATAGCACGCAACAGAACTTAGGGTTTACACATACAATGTTCATCACACACTCCAGCAACTATCATGTACATATTGTGCGAGCTTCACTGTATCGCGTACACATCTCGGGCTAATCCAGAAACACACCAAGAATCCAAGATTAGCGAATTTACTACTGTGTGGAGATTCATAGGCGGATTCTTATCGCCAGTTAGGTCACAGTTCTAACACGCTTAACCCTAGATGACGAACCCTCGCTTGTTTTACGTGTGCGAATGGTGTACAACGAGGCGATTTGCTTCGAGGCTAGCCCTTGTACATCACAAGCGACGTTCAGATGTATGCAAACTGCGTAGAGAGAGAGCAAGAAGAAGACTGCAAGCATCGTATGCAACAAATGCGGACGGCAACACAGCTCGGGTCAGAGAAGACACCACCGCACAGGGTAGAAGCGAGAGGAGATTCTCCCAGCGAGAGGTATTAATAGTCTTGTCTCCACGCGCGCAAGTCAGGTGCGCTCTCTCTCCTTTGCACGGTGCGGTGAACATGATATGGCTACATCAAAGCATGTAATGGTATTAATGAATGAGAGTTCCTTTTTGGGGTAGAAAGACACTCGGGTAATCTCCCCCCGATATTTTCGTGATCTTCAGGGCAGGAATAGTGACGAGCGTCCAGGCTCTGGAAATGCAGACGCAATGGTGCAAGAAGACGTGATAAGTACTGGGGAGTCTGGTAGCTCCAGCGAGGCATCGAGCAATGGGGATGCGGTTGCATTTGACACAGAACTTGAGCTCTACAGATTGATAATGAGTTGCAATAACGGAAAGGGTCTATCTAGCAAGGACACATGCCGTGTCCTCAGGTTTTTACAGGCGCATGGACTTGACCTGTCACGCATATCGCAATGGAAATCTAAGCGCGCAGTGGTGAAGTATGGTCTTAAGCTCTTGATGGGGAAGCGGAAGTATGTGCGAACACCTGTGACCGTGCCTGGCTTCCGGCGTACGTTCACTGTCACACACGCTCCGGGTCTGGAGGCACTGGAAGAGCTGTTCAGCTCCGAAGCGAACCAGGAAGGCTTCACCCTGCGAGCGGATCGTGTGAAAGATGAAAAGAGGGCCAACATATACACCACGCCACAAACAGCAGATTATTGGAACCGCTTCCAGGTATGTTTTGCCACCCATATAGTACCCGTCACTACGTGGTACCCACATCTTGTCCACTCGGCCGGAGCAATACAATCAACCAGCGCTGTGTGTTCGCAATCGCAGAGAGTCTTGGATCGCTTATATGGCCCTGGCCAGATTGTGGCTCCACTCATCATTGCCAGCGATGCTACACTGCTGAGCGGTAACAACAGGCAGCGGGTGTGGGCGGTGTACCTCAGTATCGCAAACATTGCTCTGCGGTTACGCTGGCGCAACGCGGGCCGGATATTGATTGCTCTCTTGCCTGACCCTGACAGGTCAATGACACCCAGCCAAAAAGTGGCATTGTTCCAAGCTGCTATGGCGGTTGTTCTCGAAGACCTTATCAAAGCATCACACAGGTAGAGTGGACCTTTTGAAGTTATAAGCCGGATATTATCTTGGAGCTGTATGAAACACAATGCCATATGTGTTCCCCTGTCCCACACAGTGGGGTGGCCTTGCTCGACCCGTGGGGAGTACCGCACATAGTCTGGCCCTTGCCATTCTCATGTGTCGGTGATTACCCAGAAACGAGTAAATACACGTGCACACTTCAGCTCGGAACGAATATGCCCTGTTCATTGTGTTACGTCGTTAAGGACCGGCTTAGGGACATGCTGTGTGCGCCTGCTGCTCTAAGAACAGTGCCACAACAGCGGTACCTATCCGGCGATCCCAAGGAGGCAGCGAAGTACAGCACGCTTTGTATCGCGGTATGTGCTTCTTCGTCCTATAGCATATCAGATACAATGTGATATCATGTGTTTTGCTAAGCCGCCATCTAATCCTACGTGCTCGATCCATCTCAGTCCGCCATCAATTCCGCTTCGCCGACGATGAACGTGGCAACACGTACCTGTCTGTGATGCCAGACATTCTGCACCTGATATACATTGGGCTATGGCTGTACGTGCGAGCAGGCATTCGTGGAGGCGACCTAAAGGCGGTCCAGAAGGACGAGTGAGTAATGTTTCATGTCCTGAATACTATCTCTTGAGTGCGACAACCTAGCACACTAATAACCCTCCACTACCATGCTCATATTTCATGCGTCTTGATAGTCGGTATGTCTCTATCTACCCTGCTGCACGGCTGGCTGGCATGGAAGTGCCCTCGACCGACCGGTATTGGGCATCTGGGGCTAATCATACCGCATCGGAGCATGCCGGCATGATTATGGTGAGTTGTAAACATAAACATACGTCCTTTTTTTCAAGACCTATAGTCCGTTTCATTTAATGAGCTTATGAGGATGTATACACGCATGTCTGCCACTGTTTTTCCCTATTGGAACAGCTGGCCCCTCTCCTTGTTGAAGGCGAGATGACTCGTGTGCAACACCTCGCGCTACTGCGGTTCATGGAGTGGCACGACACGCACATCCGTGCAACCAGTCACACGGACGTTTCATTGGCCGTTATGGCAGAGGATACTCGGCTGTGAGTTGAGACGTCTTGTATAATCCGGATTTACCAACCGAGCTTTCTTTGGTGTTTGTCACTCTCTTGAGCCTTTGCATTTATACTTCCTACACTGTGATGACATGCGAGCCACTCATGTGCAGCATGATACGGGGGCTGGAACAAAACTTTCCGAGAAACACCAAGAACGCCTGGAACCTTTTGAAAGTACACCTTCCAACTCACCTTCCCGACGCGATTCGGAGGGCCGGGCTCCCTGGACAGTTTTCTGCTGCAGTCTATGAGAATGCACATGTCAGGACATGCAAGCAACCCTATCGAGCCTCAAACAGACGCGAGATCGACAGTGCGATTACACAACACAATGAGAACCAGGCGATGCTGTCCGCGTTGCCCCCCGACGTGGATGCAACCCGTCACTACGACACGGCGCTCTTGCGGGTGAGTTTGCTCAAACGTGCAGGGTAGGCTCTCGAGCATCCATGTGTAATGCACCATGAATCTGCTCGTTTCCTCAAATGCATATATTGCATGTCAACGAGGTTAACTGTACACGTTGCCCATTCTATGTACATGTCGGATTCGCGATGTGCAGGCCGTAGAAAAGGAAACCCCACAACTAACTAAGTCTCGGCGTCGCATGATCGCTGGGCCTGTCCGCTCTTCTACTGGCCCTGACATTTTCGCGTCTTACAACAGTGCTACAGAAGGCGGCTTAGCGTCATACGCACCAATCATGCGCCGCCATGGGTTCAGTCCTTTCCCAGTGTGGGTACGTACACATTGTCACTGAAGAGTTACAACTATGCCACATCGCGGGTTGTTTGCTTTCATGACTAGGAACTCACACATGTATGTTAAACTTTCGCTCCCACACCCAGGTACATACCGCCCTTGCGCTGCCTGCCACCACCAGCAATGGTGCACGCCTGCAGCCCCACTACGCCCGTGCCGTCCCATCATATCATTCCAACCCAGCGTTCTCTTGGGTGCAATATCGCGGTACCAACAGACAGACCCGCACAGGCCAGCTACTCTTGCTGCTTTCTGGCCTCACAAGATTGGATGGGGCTCGCCAGCCTGTTGACACAGGCGTCGCTTTCCTGAGGTGCACACGGAGCGGCGGGACGCATGAGGAGTCTGGCTGCGAACGGCTTGAGATGGAAAGCGGCCGCGCCCAATTCGATGTGGTGCCAATTGCTGCCATCCAATGGACCGTTCATGTGGTCCAATCCTTCAAGGAGCCACGCTGGTGGTTCCTAAACAGATGGGCAGATCGATGCCGTATGGACCACTCCGTGATTGGACCGTGAGGAGATCCCAAGATGCTCGTTCTTCAATGTGCCAACCCTGTAAGGACATGCACAACGCTGATATATTCATATCCACGGAGGGGTGGGAAATGGGGCTCCCCCCTGCCTATGATCATATCCACTCAGTGGGGGGAGATCTGACCCCCCCATGAGGTCAAGCTCCCCACTGAATGCATGTGCACTCTGCGAGTGGAAACGAGCCTCCCCACCCAATGCATATGCACTCTGTAGGGGCAACAGAGTCTGCATATGCACTCTGTGAGGGCGGCAGCTGCTCCACACTAGCTGCATATGCACTCTGTGGGGGCAGCATAGGCATGCCACTAACTGCATATGCACTCTGTGGGGGCAGCATAGGCATGCCACTAACTGCATATGCACTCTGTGGGGGCAGCATAGGCATGCCACTAGCTGCATATGCACTCTGTGGGGGCAGCATAGGCATGAAACTAACTGCATATGCACTCTGTGGGGGCAGCATAGGCATGCCACTAACTGCATATGCACTATCTGTGGGAGCCCCAGAGGCTCCCCACTGAGTGATTTCTTATGCACTATCTGTGGGGCCCCAGAGGCTCCCCACTGAGTAAGTTCTTATGCTCTATCTGTGGGGCCCCAGAGGCTCCCCACTGAGTGAGTTCTTATGCTCTATCTGTGGGGCCCCAGATGCTTCCTACTGAGTGATTTCTTATGCACTATCTGTGGGGCGACGAGGCACCCCATTGCTAAAACGTGATGCTAGTAAGAGGAGCAGCGCCTCACCGCTGACCGCACATGCCCTATGTGAGTGGAGCCGAGGCTCCCCACTGAAAGGGAGCGGACACAAGACCGGTGCCACAGCCGCATGCCTATCAGGCAATCCCAAAGCGGCGGCAACCCATGACTCCGTACGTCAGTCCCTCAGCGAGACGAGCACAGGGCCCCCCCCAACACCGTCCCCCACACTTGACGTCGTGACAAACGGCTCACCCAAGCCTCCGACGACAGTAATTTAAAAAAGTGGGGAGATCGGGCTCCCCACTGCATCCCGTTTTAGGAGCTCAGTGAGGGCGGCTTAGCCTCCCCCATGAGTGATGTCAAGGTCACCCAGTGTTTAGCTACTGAGCCTCCCCCATGAGTGATCTCTGGTTCACCCAGTGAGGGGAGATGAGCCTCCCCTCAGTGAGTTCTGGTTCACCCAGCGAGGGGAGCTGAGCCTCCCACATGAGTCACCTCTGGTTCACCCGGATAGGGGAGCCTAACCTCCCCCATGAGCGAATTAAAGGTCACCCAGTGTGAGGAGCTGTTTCTTATGCCCAAATCTCCTGCGCAAGTGCATCCTTCCCCCCGCAGTCAAAGAGATAATTTGTGGAAACATCCAGCATGACCTAAACTGCTTGCAGTGATGGGAGCTATGGAAACCGCTGGACCCTTTCAGGCAGGCAGCGTGGCTTGATTTGGCCACCCACTGCCACCGTTCCAATGCCCCAATTGAAGGGAGCACAGGCCCACTACTACGCCTCAGATGTGCACTCAGAGAGGCAATCTGAGAGCCACCCGCCTCGGCTCCTAAAGACTGAGAGAAGGCGGCGGTGAGGCACCCCCCTGAAACCGTATATATACACTCAGTAAAGGGAGCTGAAGCACACCAAGGGCAGACCACCCCACAAGGCATGCTCGCACGAACCACCCCTGCATCAAACCCCCAAATAGCACATGCATGTTATGCGACCCCGTGGTGTGGGAGCTTCACTGTCCCCCTCTCAAGTAGATCAATGTGTTACACCTGGTGTCACATTTCCCACCCCTGACCCGTATGGAGATGTTAACCATCTCCCATGGTTTATCGTTCTACCCACATTGGACATGTTTTTCCTTAAATCCCGACAACAGGTGGTGGCCAACAACCACATGAGGGACCCTTTTGAGAAGGGCTGATATCAAACAGGCAACATTGAGCTGGGCACTTCCTACTCGTTCCACGTTCACACGCTTGTTACCTTTCAGTTTTCGTGTGCCAATAATGGGTTGGAACGCATCCAGCGTGGTGGTGAAACCATCGAACGGACATAAACAATATACGCATGGTAACAGTGAAGGTTGCTGTAAGCAGATGGCTATATCAACTTAGATGTAGGTCTAGAAATCAATTTCAATATAATTTCATGTACTAATGTATTTGACATATGTTAGAGCGAACAGCATAATATAAACACAATGCTGTTACAAAAAACGGTTTACCTGCTACTAACGCGAATGTACAGTGACCCATGCAAGAGACGTTTTCGCGCCAAACCCTAATGTTACGTAGTGGGGGGGTGAGCTAACATCCACTCAAGTTCGAATGTGTATGTGTGCGAGACCTCGTAGGTTACATCGAGCCAAGTAGCACCAAGGCTCAAATTCAGGCACTTCAATTTTTGGGACGTAATGGCGAATGTAACGCGAAAAATCTAACACGCAACAATTTTCCGTCTGTCTTCGTCTGTCACGGGAGTCTCACGAAGCACACAAGGGCGGTGTTCGCCAGCACATTTCCAAGCAAAAAAGATGGGATAACGACGGGATCAGGAACAGGGCTGATTTTATCAGGGTAATTACCCTGATTTCAGGGTGATTACAGGCTTCTCACTTGGTGGTCCCTGCAATTTCAGAATTTCTGAACACTGATCCATTCAGAATAGTGCTTTAGCGAACCCTGAAATATTGTATCTAGGCTCAGAGTAGTGTTCTTACTGACTCTGTCAATGTAGAGTACGCGTTCTGTGGACTCTGAATCTGACCTTATCGGTAGAAAGTTTTTCGGAACTTTCGTTCCGATAACCCCACTTCGAATTGATCGCAGTACAGCCAGCGCGTGAGCGACGGACAGCAGCATGTCTGACAGGCGAGTACACTCGATATTTGTTACTTTCACAAAATGCGAATAAGTTGTTGTTCTGTCGAAATTGCGTGTGCGTTAAGTTACCAGCACTTTTTTGCGTTTCGTGCAGCAATGTTGACGACATTTCGGTACTCGGCGAATTAAAAATTTGGCACATCTGTGGTATCGAATCGAATCGTATTGTTGACCAAAATCGCTCATCCCTTCCCCGCACTTAAACGTATGGATAAATACCATTTTCGTAAAACTAAACGGTTGGAAATTAGCGCGCTCAAAGTGTGCGCGAAACACAGAGCACACTTTACCCAGAGCAATGCTTTTTCCCATGTAATAAAGAGCGCGTTACTACTCTGAACTTCGATTTTCGACCCTGAACAATCAGAGTTATATACTTTTCAACCCTGAGCGATCAGGGTAGCATCATTATGAGAAATGTGCACTCATAATCGAGGGGAATTTTTTTCCCCAGAATCAGGGGGGCCTAAAACGAAACGTCAGCCCTGATCAGGAAGGTACGTCTCGCCTTCCTGATCCCGTCAGTTAGGGTTCGTTTACCTCCGTCAGCCTGGTCAGCCCGTAAAAATGCTGCCGAACCTCTTATGCCGTCCGAACCTCTTAGAAACGTGAGGGCGTGGCGAACGCCCCCAATTTTCATCGACTTCGAAGTGCATGACCGCATATGGAAACGGGGTCGCAGCTTCCTCCCCTGGCAAAAACAATCCTCCGACGATGCCATCGCCATCCACCTCTCCACGGTGAATGGCGATGGCATGGCTGTGGCATTGCACAGCACAGGGAAACCACTGACAGCCCCAACTGTTTGACGAATGAGGGTTAGTTACCCCCAACTTTCCCATCCCAAACACACCTTCGAGCTGCTCAAGCAACGGCACTACTTCGAAATCAATCGTGATCCTTTCCTTTTTTTGGGTTGCGAAGCAACCTATTACAATCGTTATGTACAATTTTTTTTTAATCGTTATGAAAAAAAATAGCGAATCGTGGCTAAGTGATTCAATGCTGTGTATTTGCCACGACAATTTAGCACTTGCCGTGCCACATTCTTTCACATTTCCTAGGTAGTTCGCCTTGACTGGTAACCTATACTTTATCGATGAAACATAAACATGACTTGCCAAAATGATGTACCGTAACTGTGAATGCGTGACCGTTTATTCGGTAATGCATATGCCGGAATATATAATGTATAGATGAAGTATAATGATGATTGAGTGCAAAATGCATAAATATACATGCATATATGACTGTGGTGAATATACATGTGCTCTGTTTATTTCGGTATAGGTCCGGTGCAGTGAAATGAATGCATGGCATGATGGAAATGCGTGACAGTTAATTGACCCAGACCTTATGCTACCGCATCCCCTGCCTAGCATGGGGGGGAAGTCGATAGCATAGTTCCTGAATCATCCAACTGTTACATGAAACAACACAATCTGTGTAAACTAAAAAAATGATCAAAATCCATCAAATCCAGTTCAAGTGAACACACTCACTGAGTGGGCAAAGAACCTTCTCGGAAATGATAGCTTGACCATTTTTTTAAAATCCACAGATACGCATTGTTAATGCAATGGCAGGTGGATATGTATGAATATTACACAGAGACACATACGCACACACGCACATACCGATATGCACACACAAAGACGAGTCACAATCAGAAAATGAACCTAAAAGAAATCTAACATAACAATGCAGTAGCATCAATCATTAACATTTCAAACAAAAATCAAACAAAATCCTTTTAATTTCCACATTAGCCTCCGAATGTTATAGCGAAGACCCTGGGAGGGAAACGGGGGGAAACGTAGTGGGAAGGGAAAGGAACGGGGCAGAAGGGGCAGAAAAAAGGACGGAGGCAGAGACACATTAGAGAACTACGATACGACGGAATTACAGGATTTGAAACGTAGGCAGGTGGGGAAGAGAAGTACAAAGGAGAATAACGAATAAAAATACCAGATGTGATAATAACCGCATAGAGGAAACGCAATAATCTGGGCAAGGAAAGAAGAAAACATAAATGAGCTCGTATATAGTAGCGTTTTGATAGATACATAAACGAGCGAAAGAGTTTGACAGAGAGAGAGAGAGAGAGAGAGAGAGAGAGAGA